ATAAACTTCCCTTTTTCCAATACAGAGATTTTTGTGTGACCATTTCCTTCACACGACTTGGGATTCTTACATTTTTTCCAGTACTGCTCCAGTCATTCTTACATTTTTTCCAGTACTGCTCTTTCAGCCAAGTGTGTGTCTATTAAATGATCTTTCCAGGGGCTTAGGTGCCAAGGGAGACACTAAAATAATTCCAACAGTATCATGGCAGTTTTTCACACCAAGACCATCTTGCAGGTTCAGGATCTCAGAATCCTAGTACAGACATCCATTCCAGGTGTTCTATTGTAAAGATACACATTCTATTTTGTATACAGTTTGCTTGTGCATCACTCCCAGAACATCTGTTTGTTATACTGAAAGCATTACATTTGGCAGTTCTATCCCTCAAACTTCATGAATGCTTGAAATTAAACAGATTTTAAGAGATTATTTTTCTGAACTAAAGCTACAGAACATTATTCTGAAGATTTAAATTGCAACTAGCAGACTTTTCCAGTCATTATTTAAAATAAAATGCAATGCACATCAAATCTTGGTGTTTGTGGAATATACATGCAGCATGTTTGACTTGCAAAACAACGTTGCAGTGTAGCCCACTTCTGTTCAGGATCCCAGACAGCCAGTCATTCCTTTTACAGTTGTACCTCTGGTTACGAAATTAATTCGTTCCGGAGGTCCGTTCTTAACCTGAAACAGGTATTCACCTGAGGTACCACTTTAGCTAATGGGGCCTCCCACTGCCACCGCAACGCCAGCACACAATTTCTGTTCTCATCCTGAGGTAAATTTCTTAACCCGAGGTACTATTTCCGGGTTAGCGGAGTCTGTAACCTGAAATGTTTGTAACCTGAGGTGTTTGTAACCTGAGGTACCACTGTACTAGATTACTCCATTGCATTCCACACCCTTTCTGATTTGTCTCTCCCTCCAACAGTCAGCCACATTTTATGACTACAAGGTATGCTCAATCACCATTGGGTCATTTTTTGGTTTCTACTCTTAGATTTCCCCCCTAAAAATCTTTGCATACATGAAGACCTTGGGATTCCTGCAAGTCAGCTGATCCCTTGCTCTTGTGCGCAGATGGCACAGTTGTAGCTGCAGAAAGATGAATTCCCTGATATACAAGACTCCAAGTTTTTAGAAACCATAAACATTGCAGCAATATATTAAATCAAAGATCCAAACTAGAATCCAATAGTATTTATCAGCTTCTCTACTGATTTTCATATCAGTCAACCTTGAGGCCAGACTGACTTCAATTTGGTGATATTGCTTGATGGATCTCCTTTCACATCTGTTATGAAAATCGGGTTTAAAGACTGTAGAGAGCAATAAGCTGAGATACGAATGAGCCTTGTGCACTCACATGCAACTACTTCACTCTTGACTACTACACAAACAGGCCATTCAAACTGAGAAACCATGGTTAACATCTTCAGAACAAGCCAGGATATGGAGTCATCCTGGCTCTGCATACCCTGCTTGTTCCAAAGCCATTAACCATAGTTATCTACTTCATAATGCTATACTTAACTGAATACTTCAGACTTAATCCTCATGTAATGGGAGGGCTAAAGCTGCTACGTGTGGGGCCACAAGACTTGTTTATAAGCTGGCCAAGATAACACAGCCTATGTGTAATGTATCAAGTTAGCAACTCTTCAGCAGTATTAGCAGGAAAGGCAGCTCTTCCATCTACCACTTAGTCAAACATGCAGATGGTGCCATCAGAAAGTTAATAAGGGATTCTGATTTTTTTTAAAATTCTATTTCTTTTACATTTAATAATATTTTTATTATGAATTATACCCCGCCCATCTGGCTGGGTTTCCCTAGCCACTATGGGCAGCTTACAGTGCATTTAAAAACATAGGAAATATCCAACATTAAAAACTTTCTGATACAGGGCTGCCTTCAGATGTCTTCTAAAAGTTATGTAGTTCTTTATCCCCTTGACATTGCTGGGAGGGCATTCCACAGGGAGGGCTCCACTGCCGAAAAGGCCTTCTGCCTGGTTCCCTATAACTTCACTTCTCAGAGTGAGGGAACCATCAGAAGACCCTCGGAGGAGGACCTCAGTGTCCAGGCTGAGCTATAGACTCCTTCAGGTATACAGGTATTTATATGCATGAGCAGCTCCTTCAGATATGTCAATATTCCTATGTTACAATTTTCAGTCACATGTTCTGTATACATGGAGGAGTGAAGCATCTACCTGCGGAGCCACAAGGCTATAAGAAACTGATCTTAGCATACCTACTTCCATCTCAGAAGCAAACACTGCTGCATCCATGTTCAATTTGTATGCATTATATTAACTAAATAAATAAAAATTGAAACAGTGCTAACAAAGAGGTCTTCAATCATTTTCTTCTCTTTCCTTTTTTTTAAAAAAAATAAGATACATCTATGTTTGGCCTCTACAATCCAAATCTTGCTGTAATAGTCTGTATTTCTCTGTTCATCCTGCATTAACAAGAAATGGGATTACCACTAATTATCAAGCAACTTTTTCAGTTTTTCATAGTATTCATATTCTTTATTGGGCCTTTATTTTTTGCCTGTCAAAACATGCCCAGGTCTGCTTAAATACATTCTTACAGAGACAAAAGTGTTTCCGGTGCATATCAACTCCAAGGAAAAATACTACTTTAGACCTTGCCTTACTCAGAAAGCCTTGCCACAATAGATGTTTTATTTCTAAATGGCATGTGTTTGCATAAGGAAAACCTCCTCATATTGTTGTCTGATGGGGTGGCAGCATGGCCCAAATGCTGGTGCAGACTTGTAATTACAAAAGGAAAAAGGTCTAGAAGGTTATTCAAACCAAACCCTCTTGTGAAAAGGAGACAAAGAAAAAAGTCAAGGATGTAGAACAGGCTTTTTCCTTATGCTGTAGCATAGATTCACCAAAACTTACAGAACAAGGGACTGTTGAATTTGTAACCATTTAAAACTAGCAGTGACAATGGCCGGATTCCAACACAAAACCATAGTTTTAGCAAGATGGAAACGAACCTACACAAACCTCAAGCTTTCATATTCTCCTCTCCCATCTCCTTCAAGGAGATCAGGTTTTAAAGTTCCAATTGAACCACAGTTAATTCTACATCCAAAGCTTAAACAGTAGTTTCAAACAAACCATGGTTAAGATAAATCACAGTTTGTTGAGTTCAAATGACGCATCAAGCTACAGTTGATAAAAAAATGGAAGCAAAAGCTTCTGAACTCCATCTTGTGGCCCTGCTAGAACACAGCCCAATGGTGGTTTAGGCTCATTCTTATAATAGTGAACCATGGGTAGGCAAACTAAGGCCCAGGGGCCAGATCCGGCCCAATCCCCTTCTAAAGCTGGCCCGCCGCGGAAGGTCCGGGAATCAGCGTGTTTTTACATGAGTAGAAGGTGTCCTTTTATTTAAAATGCATCTCCGGGTTATTTGTGGGGCCTGCCTGGTGTTTTTACATGAGTAGAATGTGTGCTTTTATTTAAAATGCATCTCTGGGTTATTTGTGGGGCACAGGAATTCTTTCATATATTTTTCCCCAAAATATAGTCTGGCCTCCCACAAGGTCTGATGGACAGTGGACCGACCCCCTGCTGAAAAAGTTAGCTGACCCCTGTAGTAAACTATAATTTAGTACAGCCTTCCCCATGCCGGTACCTTCCAAATGCTTTGGACTACAACTATCACCTTTCCTAACCAATAGCCATGCTATCTGAGGCTGATGGGTGTTGGAAAATCGAGGGTCACAGGGACAGCTTTAAAAGAAATTAAGGGGAGGAAGTGGTCTTGCACATTGCTTTTTTGACACCCCAAAATTAGGAAGTCATCAGACAACTGTACAGTGGAACAATAGAATAACAGATGAACGTAGTAAAAACGAACTTTACAGTACTTCAGCTTTATTACACTTTGTTGTACAGAAAACTCATTTCCAATATCCATATTGTGCAAGTGGAAAAACTGTGTTTCCACATAAACAATAGATACAATCTGCTTAAAACTAGATAAACTTATTTTTCAATAATTTCCTTAACGGATAATATATGGGGAAAAACCTTGACTACTGCAAATTCATTATGCAGAATAGCGCAATCAGTTAGAAAACAAGGTAAAAAAAATTTAGGCACATATGTACAACTGGGACACTTGCGAACTAGAGAGTTGGGCAGCAAAAATCCCAAACTGACAGAGAGCTTTCTGAACACAAGGCTAATGAATGAGATTATGTTACGTTAAACAAATTTGCAACACTAACCAAACCATTTTAGCTCAGTAGTAGCAAAACCAAGTTTGATTGAGCTAAGAATGTTTATCAATATCTGCCTATCGGGCAACTAAGTTAGCCCGGCACAAAGTATACAGAATGGATGGCAGGAACAAACTTCAAAAGCAGAGTGTACACCATACACTCAATCAGCAAATAAAAAGCACTTCAAACCAGCTCTCTTTCCCTCTATACTCTGCTTTTCATGAATGAAACTCTATTGTTTAAAGCCACAGGCTACCACGATAAGGGCTGTCACATGGAAGTTAGAGCAAACTTGTTTTCTACCCACTCCGGAGGGTAGGACCTGAACTGACGGCTTCAAGTTACAAGAAAGGGCATTCCAACTAAACATCAGGAAGAACTTTCTGACATTCAGGGTTGTTTGACAGTGAAATGGGCTCCCTCAGAAGGACTCTCCTTCCTCGGAGGTTTTTAAGCAGAGGTTGGATGGCTATCTGTCATGGATGCTTTATTTGAGATTCCTACATTGCAGGGGGTAGGACTAGATGATTCTCAGGGTCCCTTTCGACTCTACAGCTCTATGATTTAAAAACAAAAATACTTTTGACATATTTAACATATATACACAAAAGGAAGCAGAAAAATAATACTCTTCTCCATGTAAACCACACATTACTCTTCTACAATAAATCATAAAGATGCTAAAAATACAATCACAATCTGAATGCCCCACCCCCATCCCAAAGCTTTTTGGAATCTACCTTGTATTTTCTTTGCTACTTTGATGATCAGCAAGTCTTTGTCTGCAAGCAAGGTACATATCATGTCCAGGGTGGGTCTGTTTGACACATACTGGAAGATACAAGTAAGGAATGTGTGCCTAGGGTGCTCACGTAAGGGGAAACTACATCGGTAATGAGAGACATCCTCGATCTGGCCAAACTCAGAAATACAGACTTTGCTGAGTTCGTATGTTATTAAACCTCCCATCCAATAAAGCAAACAGCCAAAATGTAAGGATCATTTTCGTACACATTGCTGATGAAGCAGAAGGATCCATTGCACAAATCTGTTGCGCCTTGTTCCACTGTGTAATGCTGCCTCTGAATGACATAACATCATATGACTCCTCAGTCTTGCAACAGAAAACTGTGGTAAGAGAACTCTAACCCTCCCAGTAGTTCAGCTTCCTAAACAGGCCAAAGAGGAAGTATATTGTCATTGCTCATGCAACTATACTTACCTACCCCAGCTTTATATTAATAGAATGAATGTTGAAGTAGAGAACAGTGAAAACAGAGCAACAAACGAAAGAAGATAAAGAAAAACATGGCACACCCAGTAAAAGAAAGCAAAGGCACAGATCAGCAATGAATTGCCTGCCCAAACCAAACACACATACCGCTGATTTAGCAGCAACCACAGTCGAAGACACCTGCAGGGTCATGAAAAAAACCATGCATTTGTTCAATTTCCATCCCCAGTAACATCTCACTATTATGCAACATGTCCTAACAAGTGAAATCAGACTGGGCAGAATATGAGCTCATACATATCAACTATAAGATCTATATTTTACTAGCAAGAAAAAATTGCGCCCATTAGACTATTTTTGAAGCTTTGTCATCTGTGGGCCTCTCTAACAAGGCTGCTTGCCAAATTATGTATGGTAATCTTGTGGTATGGATTAATGCCTAAAAATTAGACTCAAGCCATTCCACTTTTGTTGTTTTCATTCTAGTTCAAAGAAAATGATTATTATACATCTGGCCCCATCCCCTTATGGCTTCACATCTTTCCCTTATGGTTTTTGGGTTTTTTTAACAGAGCATCACATCAAGAATGAAACAAGTGCCAAGCAATTTCACTTAGTAGTTATTTTAAGACTATGAAACTGAAAACAAAAATTAAATGCAACGTTGCTTTCCCTCACATGAGCCATGCAATAGCAAAATAAGTTCTTCAGAACGACTTCCTTTCATATGCCTAAGCAAAGCAGCAATTTGATATCCATAGCAGAACCAGTGCAGCAGGGTAGTTAAGTTGCAGACTAACAATATCTAACCCTTGTGCAACCTCCTGGCTTATAGGTAATATTTTATTCCACATTCAATTTCAATTTCTGACACGCCCCTTCACCACCTGTCCCAGGAGGCATTACAGCCATTTACATATTAAAATCAGTTTATAATGTGTTATAGACAAGAGGTGGGTCCTTAAAAAAACAGAAGCAAAAGAACATTCCTTTTTACAGTGCTACCTCTTTATCAAGGATGCTTCTGTAGGACAATTTCAGTCTACCAAATATGGACCTTTAATACTGTAAAACTTATTCAACATTAGTAGGTGGGTCTACTTAGCCATTACTACCTTTCCCCTCAGCAATAAAATGCTTCTCTTTTATCTTTTCCTAATCCAGCTCTAGAGGTGCTCTGACTGTACACCAGGCATAGGCAAACTCGGCCCTCCAGATGTTTGGGGACTACAACTCCCATCATCCCTAGCTAACAGGACTAGTGGTCAGGGATGATGGGAGTTGTAGTCCCGAAGTATCTGGAGGGCCGAGTTTGCTTATGCCTGCTGTACACCATCCCTTCAAGAGTGAAGACTCCTCCAAAAAGCAGCTTTGTGTCAACAATGAAGGAAAGTTATAGAACGTCTGAAGCGTCCAACTTGCCTTTGCAGAAAGCATCAGACGAATTAAGGAGTTATTCTACATTGCAGGTACATATATGCATGGGGGTATAAAAAGTGAGATGAGAAGGAAACAAAATACAGAAAATTATAGACAATTATAATTAGGTACTTAACAGTGTTAATTCACAAAGCAGTTTGAGCGATATATTCTGGGTCACTCAACCATCTGATACAGGTTTAGGGGATGCAGGGCAGGAGAGAATGGCTGAAATTTGCAACCTGCCACTTTTGTCTTATGGAAGCCTTACTGTCACAGCTGAGTGACACTGCTGGATACAACCCAATTGTTACTATCGTTTTAATCTGTTCGCATTTTCACAAAGTTAATCGATGGATGAGTCATTAATTCTGTTTTCATTAACTACAGTGTTCATTTCCTTGTTTAATTTATCACATTTTTGCAATAGATAAAGCTTTTAAATCAGGTCACATATAGAATTTTCATGGAATATAAACAAACAAATAAGGTACTTGAGTAAAAACTTCCAGAAACATTTCCTTCAAATTTGCTAGATTAAGGAGCACCCATTACAATCAAAACCACTATAACATTTCCCAAGCCTTCCTGTTAAAACAAGCTGCTTGCCTCACTGTTAAAAGAAAATGACAAAGAGAAATACTCACACTTTCTGGATGCTGAATAGCAGCTTCCCACTGCAGTCTTATTCTCTGGGGCATCATCACATCATCCTGTAATAAATGGCACACTGTAACTATATGTGAAAGAGGGCCCACCACTGTTCTCAAACAATAACTAGAGATGGTTGCCAGATTAACTGGTCACTTTACTAGCCCAAGTACAAAACTATAAAATACACAATTGGCTGTAACTACTGGAGGGATTCCAGATACCACTTTATTTCAATAGTTTATGCATGGCTACCAGAGTAGTAAATTTAGCCCCCAAAAGAAAATTAACATAAATTAGAACTAGAAGGGGGAAAACTTTTTACAGTAGACCAAAAGTGAAACTGTTACCATTTTATACAATAAACCAAACCACATTTCAGAATTTCCTACCCACGGCAGAGCCTAAGTGTTCAAAAATATACTATTACTATGTCTTGCTATGTATGTATATTGATGTGTAAATAACTTTAAAATCATTTTCCTAGCAACTCTAGCAAGAGTTATGTGAGGGAGATGGTTATGCTTCTGATTTTATACTTGGGGAACTAAGGCTAAAAGAAAGGCTTCATTAGGATTTGAACCAAAGTATCACTGAAACCACTGACTATACTATATTGTAGCCATTTGAACCCACTCGTATCTGCCTGTTTAGGTATTTGTAAATCATATCAACGCCAGCATATAGACTGATCATCATATTAACAACTCATTCAAGAAGCCATATTTTGAACTGAGGCTGAAGAGCCAGTGGTATTGGCTGAGCATAAGGGCTCCTCTAGACCCCTTCAGAGCCATCATCTTATTATGAGCCTCAAGAATCAGACATGATCTACTGATTCTACAAGTTTCGAGTATATGGTGGCAGGCCAAGAGGGTCAAATTCTTGACTGTACTTCTTCAGCCTGTAGGCGGGAGGTTATTTTTATGAGTGCTGCTACACATTGTTTTTCAGTTTGTTAAACTAAAAGATTAGTGAGCAAAGCTATGGTGAAGTGGTATAGTCCAGAATTCAACCACCTAAGTCTACCACCTTGTGGAATGGGTCTGGTTGCAAGCTTTAAAAAATTAGGCCCAGGATATTCGATAGACCTCTTGCACCCATATCAGCCTGCCCACACATTCAGATGCACAAGAGAGGCCTTCTATGTGTGTCCATCTCACAGATCAGCAAGCTTGGTAACCTTACGACTTCTGAACGCCATGCGAGTGGATCTTCGACAGGCTCCCACGCTTCAAGCCTTTCCCTAAAGACGTAACTTTTCCAATGGGCTAATTGGTGATTGATGCTTTATGTCCTGGATTGTGGTTTGCTACTGCTGTGGGAAGTGTTTTAATTTGCTGCGAAAGCTTTTTTATTGGCTATTCTCCGGGGTCTGTTGATAGTTTTGTGGTTGTTGTTATTTTATAATTTTTATTGTTGTAAGACACCTTGGACAGAGACTACCCGCATAAGCTGCCTAATTTTTTTTATACCCAACTAAACAAAACACCCTTCTGCCCTGTGCCCCCCATAGCACCTATGAAGTTTCTAACAAGTCTCCCATTAACACGTTGCAGCCGTTCACTCCTATTTGCCTCTGTCCCAGCTTGCACATGGGCAAATATTTGAAGAGCATAAAGGGGAGAACTCTCCTAAAACCTCTGCTGCCACTGTCATTTGAGCAAGGGGGTGGAGTGCTGTGCTTGTGGGGAAAGCAATTAAGGTGCATAGTCAGGGGATCACAAGGATTAAGAGCTGCAATTGGGAACATTAAGGAGCCCTTGGTCCAAGACTGAGCAACTAGTTCCCTCTCCCTGTTCTAGGAACTTGAAGCCACCCTAACACTACAGTTTATCCAAAAATGATAACAAGGTTGGGAAACAAATCTGTGCCAGTAGCTACATACAATTAATCTACCTCAAGGTAAAACAAAAAACTTGAAAGTAAACCATACAGCTTATCAGGAGGCAGTGGAAGAAAGAAGTGCTTGGCGTTCTCTGGTCCATGGGGTCACGAAGAGTCGGACACGACTAAATGACTAAACAACAACAACAACAAATTCCTAGCAGGACCTATGGCAGTAAAACTGAAATATTTCCACTTGCTCTATGAATAGCAGATTTCCGACTGTTCACATCTCTGCTAAAGAGAGAATGATAATCCTACAATTTTGAATGAAAAGATTAAATGAGGAACTGACTCATTGACCCATCTAGACACTTTACTCACAGGGACTGTAGAAGTGCTCAAACGTACTCAGCATTGTTTCTTTGATTAACTTGCGGGTGATTTTTTTTGGGGGGGGAGGGAATCCGCTTTACACAGATGCAAGCAATAAATGAATTAATTTCTTAACTCCAGTACTGTACTGGAAATGTGTGTGCTGATCTATTGATCTGATCCAGAAGCCCTGCACGTGTGCATATGGTTTCCTATCTCAAACAACTTCTGCATTCATTTCAATAGTGCATTCATTTGCATGTGAGATATTCTACCTCAGTTCAAACAAATGGGGAAACAACAGACACATAAGATCTAAGTACACATTTGAGGGTCAACAGATTCTTAGATTTGAGCAAGTTTGCTTAGTTATGCACATCTGCTCAAGTTCTTATACAGCTGTTTTCATGATTATATTTAAAGTGCCTGTACTATTTAAACTTTCTTTCCTTCTTTTTCTCTTTCCTGGAGATGTTCCAGAATCCAACACTGAAGGTAGAATAGCTTTTTCTGTCCAAAGTGTTCAAATAAATGTTTATTTCCAACAAAAGGGACAGTCTCTATTGGCATGAACGTAGAATAGATGGTTTACTGTTCAGAGCCTTTGATTTTATTCCCAATAAAATCTTTATGATCTACAGTAAAATTCAGTCTGGAAAAATATTCATTAGGTAGTCTCTGTGTCTTAACACACACACACACACACACACACACACACACACACACACACACTTTCTCATTCTCCTTGCATGCTTGTTTAGAAGAAATGTAAATTACCACAATGTTTTAAAAATTATTTTGCAAAGCAACTTGAAAATCTGATGTGTTGATAAACAACATTTGTTTTCTGTGTCTTTTTCTGTGTTTAACATAACAGAAATTCCTGAAATTTATACGCATCCATGAATTACTTGGTATTCTCATTGGAATCAATTTCTCGGTGCTATGCAATAACTGCTGAAAAACAGATGTTACCAGCTGTGTGTGCTAACATTATCTGTGACTGCTCCTATATACCTCTTTTGATTCTTGGTTTCAGTTCACCAATTCAGTATCAAATTATTCAGAATATCATGTTGGTGTCAGTCATGTGAAATGCTCTTGATTACTGCCAAGGCACTGACCTTCAGAAAATGTTGTACTTGTACATTCAGGTACGTTATAGGTTGAAAAAAATGTGTTGCTTCTATTTTTCTAGTATAGCAGACATGCAAGAAAAATCTATTGGTAGGTGATGGTTTATTGATATTTTTTGCATTTGAACTGGCAATGAGATTGAATCGGTTACGAAATATACACAATCTGTAATCATTATAAACTTTTAAATAAGAGTTTCTTGAATGTGAATAATCTCTTCTCAAGCCCTGAGAAAGAGATTCTGAGTTCAGGATGCCAGAACAGAAGATGAGTACTTAAAATATCCCCCCCCTCCCCGGAATGTCCTAATTCAGTTAGAAACACACACACATTTGGAGGGGGGGATTGAGGCAGGGGATTGCTCAGGAATATTTGACAAAAGCATGTTTTATTGAGATTAACATCCTAGGAACTACTGTGGTTTTGAATTTATTTATTCATTAGTCCAAGATATTGATGGGGAAGGAAAACTTTTTCTTTAAAAAAAATCCAGACCCACCTTTGCAATGTGTTTTGGTTTACCAGTATGTTTCCTATTCCACCTTGTATTTAGTGGCAGTTCAGTGTGGGTGGGGGCAGATATCCAGAGGCCACACAGCTACAGTATAAAGTCCCCACAATTGCATGTAGAGTTGGCTATGTGTGGCCCCTGACAACTAGGTTAAGCTCGGTGTTACCACTACTGCAAATTCTTGCATTTCTCAGGGATACAGGAAGCTACCACTTCATGCAGCTCCACAAGATGGTACATGGTAAGCTTTTGTGGGTTGGGGGGCCTCCTGAATTCATCCTAATGTTTGTAGTTGAGAGGCATTAAAGAGGAACTAAATATATGCCTCTTCTTCCTGCACTGCAAGCAAATTTATATGCTTTACTTCTACAGATTAATTAAATCTTATCACTTCATTAAAATTGTCATTTAATCTCACAAAAGGTGCTTGATGAGCCACTGCACCTCTTCAGACAAGAGAAACCCCATTCAAAAATCTACCAGAGCTATAGAACTACAGTTTCTTGGCCCCACCAGAGGACAGTGGCAGCTAGCAGGGGGACGGGGACTGAAAAGCTGACTAGAGGAGGAAAGACAGCTGGTTTGAAGTGCTTTTTTATTTGCTGATTGCGTGTATGATGTATGTAAGCTATTTCCACATGTCACAAGATCACTTCTGATTTTTCTGTACAAAATAAGTCAGTCAAAGACTTTTTTGGGGGGGTGAACTGAGGGTTTGTGGTTAGATGCCACATAGTTTCACTTTCTGTGAGAAGGGGACAATTCCTACTTAATCATCCTAGAATAGCAAATTGGTCTCTATATATTTAAAGTGCTCTGCCTTGACTGTAAAGGGAGCATCTAAACTGAGAGTAGGGTTAAGTTTTGCAGAATTTGAGGGCTAGTCTCTTGTGGAAGTAGGTAAACCCGACACAAATACATGTGGTTTGAATGCCTTCTTTCCTGAAGGTGGATGGAGATCAACAACATAAAAACATCTGGCCTTGCTTAGAAATCCCTGCTGGCTTTTCATGTGAAACAGATATCTTCTTCTTGCAACAAATTGCTTACCTGCTCAGAAAGGACTTTGGAGGACAGAAGCAAGTCTGTTATTATCAAATTCCTGTAATACTGGATTATTTGGAGTGCATGTTATGAAATTTATTTCGCGACATAGTGGTTGCTTATTATGACCCATTTGACAGTAGAATATTTGAAT